ACTTACTTATTTCTGACGAAATTTCTACTAGTCTTTCCTACCAATTTCCTACCAATTTCTTACCAATATAATAAAAATAATTTTATAAAATCAAAAATAAAATTAATATCAGAATTTAATTTAAATTAAAATATGAATTAACTATAAATTCGATTAATAAAATATATATAGAACAAAATAAGTTCATTAATTACTGTGAACCTAGAACTAGATTGAGTAATTATTAATTAGAGAGAAGTTGAGGACTCTTATTTATAGTGCAGCTTCTTCATCTAAATTATCGTAGATTTCCGATATAGGACAAATCATAAGACATATTTTCCTACAAAATTTTTATGATTTTTTACAAACAATATTTTATAGGAAATTCGTAGAAATTTTTATTTTTTCTCTATTTATAGTGCAGTTTCTTCATCAATATCTTAGATTTTCGATGTGGGACAAACTAGAAGACATATGTTCCTACAGAACTCCTATGATTTTTCTACAAACAATATTTTGTAGGAAATCCGTAGGAAAACTTCCTACGAAATTTCCACTAGTCAATTAGACCCTACCACTTTCCTACCAAATTCTGACCAAATTTTCTACAAATATAAATTTGGTAGGTTACTGGTTGGATATACTCTACCATTTTGAACGGGTTACTTACTCTTAACGGTCAAAGCAAACATCTTCCAGCTCAGATTTGTCATCTAGCTCGGGCAGTTCTCAGAGGCATTCTTATCACTTGGTAGATCCAATTCCATTTTCTTTTCGAAGAAAAGTTCTTACCAATTTTTTACCATTTTTATTTTATTTTTGTCATAATTGCGTAAGAAATTGGTTAAAAATATTTTTACCAAATGTTTTCATAAGAATATGGCATGTTTTCTTGTAGTGTCAATAATATGAGAATGGCGATAAGACCTTGAAACGAAAAAAATAGAGAAAACATAATTTAGGAAGTTAATTTTGATAAAAATGGTAAATGGTTCGGACTAAAGAGTTTTCTCTTCATTTAAAGTGTCCACATCAAAAAACCAAAACAAAAACTAAAGTTAATGACTCAATTAATTCATATACTTTGAAATAACTATGATTTTTTTATTAAAAAAAACACTAAAATTAATTATTCAATTAATGACACACTTTTATAATTACTATTTTCATCAAGAAGAATAAGAGTAAAAACTGAAAGAAAAAAAAAGAAGTTAAAGAAAACGATGTTGATAAAAAAACACTTAAAGAACAATGAAAAAATAAGAAAAATATAGGAGAAAGAAAAAAAATCAAAATATAAAGAGAATGACGCAGATGAAGACGAAGTAAAAAAAAAAAGAATACATACACTAGATAAGTAAAAATAAGAGACAAAACAAAATTTAAAAAAATGAAGAAAAACCTAAAGAAAAAGAAGAAGAGGAGGAAGAAGAACATATAAAGCTGATGAAGAGAAATTTTGGAAAATATGAAGATAAAGACGTTGAAGATATTGAGGGAGGAGACTGAAAGATGAAGATAACAAAATATGAGATTATGAAGATAGAGAAGAAGTCTAATAAAATCAAAAAATACAAAAAGAAGAAAAAAAAGACAAATACAATGAATCAGTTGTTCAATAATTTATAATAATAGCTGTTTAAAAACAAATTCTGCACAACACCAAAAAATAAAAATAAGTCTTTATAACTCTTTCTTTATGGTGATCTTGTTGACTAATGCCAAGAATATCTTTGGAAGAGTTAACCCTATTGGTATCTTTTGATATGGTGTTTGGTTTATTATAGGTGACTTAGCAATATCACAAGAGAAAAGTTGGCAAAGGAGAATTAGAATCTTCGTTCCTTCCTGTACATGCAATGATACATAGTTGTATTATGACTGATTTTCCATAATGGGTAAACTCCTTGTTTTGGGTGGACGCCGGAGAAAAAAAACGGTAAAATGTAGACTTCACATGGCAATGCAAAATCAAGATTAGCATAATATATTTTACAAAACAAATGTGGATTATTTGAAATTGTGATGCTGCTCGATCTAATCATCAACCCTATAGGCTTATATTCAGCCGTAGGGGCGCGGAGGGAGTGAAGTCGGGACAGGGTCATGTGTTCCCAACTGTTTTTTTATTTATTTTTTCTTAAATAATTTAGATACTTTTAATTAAAATATTTTTAACTTAGTGATTAAAATAAAGTTATCCAATTAAATTTTTTCTTATTTATAAAATTATGCTCCCAACTAATTTTTTTTTTCTAGATCCACCCCTGTTCAGCCGGGAAGATTCATGAAGAGCTTCCTGTTAAACAAACAATATCTCGTGGAACCAAGGCTAAAAAGAGAAATTGTAAAAGGTTGGAGTGGTGCTGATGTAAGCACAAGGATAACACAAGAACATACTCAGTTAGACACATTCAATGCTTTTGATGTGGAAGAGGTTGACGAGTGAATAATGGACAATTCATAGATTGGGTTGAATCCAAGAGATGCTGCTTCATTCTCTAATCGAAGGGGCAACTAGGAAAAGTTAGACCCAAAAAAGCTTTCGTTTGTTAAGGAAAAACCACACGAAACAAAGAAAAGATTTGACAGAATTTGATTTCACAACACAAGTGTTTGACGATGATAGGCTATTTACAAAGCAAAGGCTCTTTAGATAGGTTATTTACAAAGCAAAGGCTCTTTAGATAGATATCTGTGACGAACATGAAACAGTCCAAACTATTCAGAGTTTTCGATATCCAAGTAACGGTTCAGAGTGAAAGCTGGCCATTTGTCCCATTGTAGAGGTTCCGAATCTACCAAATGTTACTGACTCTGTGAGAGGACACAACGAAGAACAACCAGTAATCCAAAAAAAAAAATCTCAAATTCTCTTTCAAGAGACTTTAGATTTACCAACAATATTCTATATAAAAATTAGCAAATCAAATTCGAGAATCATTATGTCAATATTCATTCTGCATTGCCATGTGAAGTCTACATTTTACCTCTTTTTTTCTCTGGCGTCAACTTATAGAAAGGAGTTTCCCCTATATGGAAAACCAGCCATAACATAACTATGTATCTATCATTGCACGTAAAAGAAGGAACGAAGAATCTGATTTTCAGTTGCCAACTTTTCTCTTCTGATTATCTGTGATCACATCTGATATTGCTAACGTCACATATAATAAACTATAAACACTGAATCAAAAGATATCGGGATTGATTGGCAAATGTGTTATAGGAATTTTACACAGCCCAAAAAAATTCTACAGCTTTTAGTAAAACCTATAATACAGAGAGTTGAATATAGAGAGAATACGATATTGCAAACTAACTTTTGCCTTTATTAGAAATTACTTAAACAATCTTTACAAGATTTGTGTAATCAGACTTTGTTTACATACATCAATAACACTGACAAATTCTTAATCTACCCAAGGTTTACCATAACTATAGTTGTGTAACACTCAAGAATGAACACTCACCAAGAACCCTAAATTTTAAACTCTTGTTATTCTCTTCTCATAGACGGCTAACCTAATCTAGGCCAAGCCTCTGAGTATATATACCTCTTCTCATCTTACATAAGTAAGCAAGAGTATATCCACTTTCCACATTCTTGAGATATTCAAATCTCCATAGCTAGATCCTGCAGACCATTCTTGACACCCAGTCACCCACATAAGATTCTTTCCTACTCCATTTAGTCGTCGCCACATCAGCTTCCTCTTCATACATTTATTGATCCACGTCACGTCATCTTGCTGTATCTGCACTTTTTTTCCGCGTTCTTGACTTCCTTGTGTTGCACACTTGCTCACTTGATTCGTGTTGCAGATCTAATGATTTGGATAACACTTTTGAACTAATCCAATCAAGCTCTAGCTTTACTCACAGCCAAAAATATTTATTTTCCTTCTTTTTGCTCGTAGAAAGAATATTATCTAGAGCACACATTTTAAGCTCTCACTCAATTTCTCTTTCATTCCTCTCTCAAAAAAAAAAATCACTTGTTCAGTCAAGGTTTTATTTTTGAAAACCAGAGCCAAAATTTAAAAGCTATAAAATCTAAATTCTACAGGAAAAAACATAAACCTACAGCCTTAACCCATCAGGGCCATCAATACGGGTTGATCTCTCCCAAATATATTCTCACAAGTTACAACAACAAGATCACCACAAACAAAAAGTTATAAAAACTCTATTACCAATGCTAAATGGTTTGAGTTCAGAACCATCTACCGTTTCATCAAAATAGATTTCCAAAATTATGTTTTCTGTATTTTTGGTCGCTCCAGGGATATTCAAAATTCAAATATTGAAAACAATTTTCACATTTTTCAATGTGAACTCTTAGAAATTTCACATACTTACACTATTTGACTGTGAATTCAAATAGTAAAACCAAATATGACATATATATGACTTTTTGTATGTTTTACATTATATTTCGTATGATTGACATCAAAATAGTCAGACAACAGAGAACAAAATATTACAAACACAGTGAAAGTGCTTTCCAAAATGAACAAGTTTGCAGTAAAAAAGAGTAGCCTAAACCTACGTATGAGTAATGTGGATCCTCTTTCCTAACACTCCAACAAATAAAAATTAGTTCCCTTGTTTGTTTCAAAAGATTCAAGAAACAAATCCCAATCCAAAGATTTATGGTTGTGTTTTTGTTTATTTCACTTATTATTTTTTCATATAGTAAAATCTTTTTATTTGAAGAAAATGAGAGGGATAGTGAGTAAGGCTTATATTAGTCAAGGTAGATTTTGACATTTATATTAGAGTTTGGATAAGAAATTTGAATTATTTTGGAATTTAGATAGTTATTGGCACCGTATTTTAGTTCGAATTTTTTTCGGCACATCAAATTTAGTTTGGGTTAGTTTTTGCTCTTTTCCCGAGTGAGGCTTTCTCTTCTTATATATATATTTTTTTAAATACTTATTTTATCCCACTTCATATTAATAAATTAAATTGCTCAGTAATTGAGAAAAGTAGAAAACATACAGGGTTCATTGCACCTTGCTCCATCATCTTCAATAAATTTCTAGAACTAGAAGAAACGTCTCTTTTAGAAAAAAATCTCCTCTTTTGTTGCTAAAACCCAAAAAGCATCTGTTTTTTTTTCTCCTCCTTTGAGCTTTCGGTGATTTTGTTTCTCTGCGTTGATCCATAAGGCGTCGGCGTCGGCGTCGTTGACAGGTGAAATTGAAAGACACTCGACTTTCATTATCCTTTGCTTCTGCTGATTTATACCTTTTTCCGTTTTATTTTCTTATCGTGATTCTCTGTGTTTAGATCTTGGGTTTCCATGGAAATGACTAGATGGGATTTTGAAATTTACCAAAGAAAAAACACACAATGCTGTTCATCCCCGAAATTGAATTAAAGGAACCAAATTGGGAGATTGTCAGATTTAAGAATCAAATTGCTTCATGCATTTTCTCTGGGTTTTCAATAAGGCTTTGAATTTTGATAAAAGGTGTTAAACTTTGCTTCTTTTTTTTTTCTTTCTTGTGGCTGATGATGAGACTGCTCTTGTATTAGTGGTGTGGTTGGTTCGTTTCCTGGAATCTGCAAAAACAATCTAAATGTCCCGTGGAAGAGTTCCTTTGATGGATCTGAAACGAACTTATGATGTTGAAGAAGCGGGATCTACACCATCCACAATCGAAGAAGAAGATGATGATCTATGGCCTCTATGTGAGATTGATCCGGAAAAAGGAAAATTCCCTTGCTGTATAGTCTGGACTCCTCTCCCTGTTGTCTCTTGGTTGGCTCCTTTCATTGGCCATGTTGGACTTTGCAGAGAAGATGGAGTCATTTTGGACTTCGCTGGCTCTAACTTCATCAATGTCGACGATTTCGCATTCGGTCCTCCTGCTCGCTATCTCCAACTCGATCGAACTCAGGTATCTGTTGTTATCTTGCTAAAACATGGATGGTAGTTCATGGAACTGTGATTAGAGATGTTCACTGTATTAAACGTTTGTGTGTGCGTGTTTTTGTTTTGCAGTGTTGCTTACCACGAAACTTGGGTGGGCACACTTGCAAGTATGGATTTAAACACACAGAGTTTGGAACAGCGGTTACGTGGGACGATGCACTGAGCACGAGCGCACGTAGCTGTGAGCATAGGACCTACAACCTCTTCACATGTAACTGCCATTCGTTTGTTGCTAACTGTATGAACCGGCTTTGCTATGGAGGTTCAATGGAGTGGAAGATGGTGAATGTTGCTGTTCTGATTTTGATGAAAGGGAAATGGGTCAGTGTGTCATCGGTGGTCCGGTCATTTCTGCCCTGTGCTTTGGTTACTTGTTTGGGGGTATCACTCGTCGGGTGGCCGTTCCTGATTGGTCTATGCTCGTTCTCGCTACTACTTGTCGCGTGGTTCATAATTGCTACTTACTGTTTTAAGAACATAATTTGTTGAAGTAGTAGGAAAGAAATATTTGTGTTTATGCATAAACATTTTGTTAATCTAAGAATTGTTCTCCTTTCTACTTAGGCACAATCGAGCTTTCAACTTCATTAAACAAATTATATTTTCTGCTCTTTAGATTATCCGCAGCTCGAGAAGATAAATCGTTGGTTAGGATTTTACGACGTAAAAGGAATGTTACGAGGAAAATGTTGGAAATATGTTTAAAAAGATTTACAAAAGACTCCGTTTCCAAATCGAACCCGGGCCTCCTGGGTGAAAACTAGATATCCGAACCGAATTAGTTAATTGAAAATTTGATAGTGCAAAATAACGACTGACTCTTATTTATCGAACTGAATTTTACAAAGCTTTCTTATCATCCTCAACATAGCTGATAATCCAATTAGGCATCAAAGAATACAACCTAGGGACATTATTCAAAAAAGAAAAAGTCTTCTGGGCTATTCGGTCTGCCATTCTATTATTTCCGCGCGGCTGAATAACTTAATCATCGAGTCGGTTTAGCAGATGTAAGATGTTGTATGCCTTGTCGTAACGCACTTAACGCAGGCAACAACGAGCTGTTACTTACTTCTGAGATATTTAAAATGGCGCAAAATAACTATTGTTAGTTGTTTTTTTTTACTTCGTAAGTCGTAACAATGGCCATCTTTAAACGAAAGAAAGATTTGTATGTAATAACCATAGTCTTGTTTTTCTTCATTTGATAAAGGGTGTCTTATTAACTTAATGCACAAATAAAAGGCTATTTAGAGCAACTCCAACAAAACCAGCATATTTGGATTTATCAAAACAAAACACACACCAAATTTAGTGTTATATTATCCCATTTTTTTTAACTCCAACCACCACAACAAATCGCATACTAAATAAAATGTTCTTTAATATTTTGTATATTATTTGATTTATTTTTATTTATTTTTATAGATCTGATGAATATTAATTATTTTTATAACTGATTAATTCTGACTTAAATGTTAGATCACAATAGATAAATTTAAAAATAGTATAAAAATAAATTACATCTTATTTATTCTCAGAATTAGTATATTCAGATCATAGGTTATCAATTACTATATTTCGAAATTCAGTATGAGCTTCTTGGATATTAGACTATTGTTTAAATTTACACTATGTTCATATTAATTATCTTGTTGCATTTTTTTAATGTTTGTTTGGTTTTAGTTTTATAATTAGGTGGCTACCGCTGCGCGTGGACATAATTACTTTACAATGTCATACAATTATTTATTTTTAAAATTCATCACTCTTTGTACTCTTTATATTGTTGATAGATTATTTCAAAATTAAAAATTTTAAAAGACTTTTACAAACATTCATTATAAATCACTGATAGAAAATTTATTTTTGACCGATGTTCAATTGATATAAATTTGAAGGTACATATACTTTAAATCTTTTTATCATTCTTTTATTTTGAAGGAAATAGAGATAATATAATTCGTTTTTATTCGCGCCAATCAAATTCGAAAGAGAGGCATCATATGGTAGTTGATTGCGCAGGTATTAAGTTTTCTATATTTTTACAAATCTAAATTTTTGATCCAATATCATTATAACCAAATATATATTAGTTTTCATTGTAAAAAATGAAATTATAAAAATGATAAAACTGAAGGAGTATATATATTAGTTTTCATTGTATACTCATGCAATTACAATAAATATAGAATAGTTCTTTTAATCCATTAATATCAGAGTTTGGAACTATTAATACAATATTATTATTTTTTCTAAATATCGCAATCGCCAAATAAAGTAAATACTAAACTACATTTATAACTCATATTTGGGTTTTTTTTTTCATCGTCTCCATCCTCATATCCCCAACCTTTTTTTCCCCCAATTTTTACTTCATTTCTTCTTCATATCTATTGTTTTAATTAAATTTAAATTCATAATCTTCACATTTTTCTATATTTAAGTGAACTTGATATTTTTTTCTTCAGCTTCTTTAACTTCCTTATCTCCTTACTTTTGTTCTTCTTTCTTATTTTGTATTATCTATCTTATTCATGAATTTTCTTACCTTCATTTCTCATCTTCACATTCTCATACTTTATCAATTTTGTTTTTCGACTTCTATTTTCTTTCAGTTTTTTCACATATGCTTTTTCCAATTTGCATTCTGTCTATGACTCTTTCTGTATCTCATTATGTATTCTTCCGCTTCTTTATCTTTTGATTGTTTTTTTTGCTTGTATGTTGCATTTTTCATCGTC